ATAGATAGATAGATAGATAGATAGATAGATAGATAGATAGATAGATAGATAGATAGACAGACAGACAGACACACACACACCAGAACAGGTTATAATTATCACTATCTAAAACATTCATATTCTGTAATGATACTTGGGGCAAATAATTAAAAATGTAATGAACTAATTATAACCAAGGATAAGAGTAAAAGGTGGAAAGTTACAAAGAAAATAAAAGAGGAGAATAAGTATACCCCCCAGAAACCCTACTTTAGAGAAAAATCCATTCAGCATTCAGTTACAGAATTATCCAAGAATACTGAACTGGTTACTAGCTTGTGCAGTTCACCAAAAGGTTCAATGATTTGAATGGGTAACAAGAGACACTCAGGACATTTTATACAAAAAAGAGAACAAAACACACCTGATAAGTCACAACTTTCAATTCGTTTGAGATCAGCATCCACCCAAAAGAGCTTCCCAAGCTTATTGTCAATCACTAGTGCAACAGGTCGAAGTAAACCAGTGGTGAAGAGCACTTCTCGTTCTGTTCCATCTAAGGCTGCACGTTCAATCTTTGGGGCTCGCTCTTGCATATTAGTGAAATACATGTACCTGACAACATATAAGAACAACTGAATTCTTAATATCAGGGAGACAATCATGTATAATTATATTCTCTGCCATTTTCTGAAGTTATTTTCTGAGGTTGAACTTCCTTTATCAACTTCTAGGGCAGATTAACTACGATCTTGTTTTGTACTGAAGGGAGATTCCAGTATGGAATCTTTCTTGCTTGTAAATAAATTTACAGCTGGAAAAGGAATATCTGAAATATACCGCCCACTCGCTCCCAAGCCAAACTCCCCTGGCGGACACGGTACAGCTGGTCAAATAAAGTCAAAAGGATTGAGACTAGAAGCCTGTAGGCATGACATCTCATCCTTCCCCTTCCCATCATAGCCCCAATATCCTCACAACTGCTCTGGACCACCCTCTGAGGCAGATGTGTGGGGAGAGATGAAATTGCTGTCCTCATTTATCTATATTTATTTAGATTTATGATTTCTCTAGGAACTCAAGATTATAAAAATCCTTTCTGTGGATGGATATGTTATCAATATTTTTTTCCTATTATATATTCAAAAGTTTCAACAATAAAAATAAATGCATTATTTCCAGAGACAAGAGTTTAATTAATCCCAGAAAACTCTTAGGTAGCTTTTGGTTTATTAAGTTAAAGGAGGTTAGAACAGCCTTGGTGGTCTAGAAATTGGCTTAAAGTATCCTAAGATAACAAGCAAAATAAATGTCTATATCCTACAATGTAGCATGGGCAGCCTCCATGGAACACTTTGCAACATTCAATGCAATATAACTTCTTGGAACTTGAGAAAATTCTCACCCTCGTTCTGCATTTACAACTATGGCCCTGGGCTTGTCATGATCTCCCCGTAAAACAACTCCAATCTGCTCCCCATTAAGTCTGTGGACATTGATTGTATTTGTAGCTTCACAAGTCCAGTACAAAGTATGGCTGAAAATATCAATGCTCAGGTCATGTGGCTGCTTTTCTGGATTTTGGCTTTGGTTGCGAATATTCATGACTGTGAAAGGCTACAAGGAAAAGAAAAACAAGAACAAAATAGGTAAGATTATTTGATGTCACAGTATACAGAAAAATTGTTTAAAACGAAATAATAATTAGTAATAAATAAAACCAAATAGTAGTAATTCCATGTAACAATCCCACTGAGCTCAATTACTTTTAACCCTAAGTAAGTGGTTACTGGATTGTAAGTTCAGTTGACCAATTCAATAAAGGTAATAATTCACAAAAACATAGACAAAAAAAACCATAACTTATTTTTCTTCACTCAGTATTTTACCAGATTTTCAGAGGAACTATTCCTTCTGATCAACAAATCCTCCACTTTTTAAAACCGTACTATCAGTAGCTGTTTTTATGTGCATATGTATTTAAAAAAAAAATCCTGCCTACTGAGGGAATGAAACAAATTGTTAAAAGAAAGAACTGAAACATTTAAGGCAAGAGCTAATACATTCATAATTTGCTTTTAAAACTATCTACTTCTAACTTTAAAACTATTAAAACTATTTTTAAAGTGGATTGTAAAAAGGTGATAGAAAAGAACTGATGGCTATTTTGAATGTGTATTTGAAATGTAGAATTAAAAATGACATGTCACTAGAGTAATATGGAAAATGTATAACACAAATATGTTTACATATGAAACCAGCTGATATCTTAATAATTAAATAATAAAAATGAAAAGGGATAACAGACAACAAATCAGAAGAGTAATTTGGATAACTATCTTATCTTGGATTTACAAAAAAATAACAGGTTCAACTTATTAAAAATATTTCTGAGAAGAAAGGGGTAATAAAAAACTTTTGGGAGACTATTTAGAAGGATTAAAGGTCAAGATTCTTAAAAGCAAAGGAAAAGAATATAAAATTGGCTTTTGATCAAACATTTGATCAATGTTACAATGTAAGTGTTGTTCCTGAAAAGTTGTTAAAATTGTTTGTACTTGTCTTTATGAAGGGAAAGTAATTATTCTACATATTTCTTTTCTACTATTTTTTCTCTTTCTTCTTTCCCTTTTTTCTGGTACCTTTTTCTTTTTATATTTTCCTTAGGTTGTATTAAATTTTTTATCTTTGTATCTGTAAATTTTAATAAAAATTATTGTAAAAAATGGTGCTTGGGCCAGAGACATTCCACGGCTGTAAAGACAGCAATTGTAAGCTATTTATGTATTACTGTAAAAAAATCTACATGTTTATGGAGTCACCAAGCGGCAAGCTTGCTTTTTTCTACAAGATTTCAGGGAAAAACAACAACTGAGAAATATCTGATTATGAATATTAATATTCAAAACCACTAATTAACAGAGACTGAATATGAAATATCCCAATCATCAATATCACTGCAAATCTGAATATTAAAAATGTTGCAAGGAGGTATTCTTCAAACAGTGAAACTCTTTTGCTTCTACAGAACAACAGACTGCATTGTAGCTAGTAGTCACCAATGTAATTTGCACCTAAGAAGAACACTAATGGGAAACAATTTGGCAATTAACGCCTAGCAAATATTCTTCAAAGAGCAGGCCTGACACTAGACAGCCCCTCCTTGGTACAAACAAGATTTCATTATCTGGTAGAAAATATTATATAAAAATTATCAAATTAGCCCAGATGATCCTTTCCTATCCCCCCCCCGCTCCCAATTCTCACTTTTACAGAACACAAACTAGTGAAAATACATTCTTGAATGTACGAGAAAGAAAACGCACATTGAACATTCAAATATTTTCCATAGAAAAAGAACTTTACTGCAGCTTGCCAAGAAAGAAATAATAAAGGGGCTCCATCAGCAACAGCTAAAACATGACAGTATAAATAGAAGGTGCTTTGATTGAAGATGGCCCTTTTCCCCTCTTTCTACTCTTTCAGAAATGTCCTAGTTTGGAATTTGCAGCCTTCTATCACAGCAAGAAAACTTTTAGGGTAGGAAAGGAAAACATTTAAGCGTTTACTTCTCAGCTCCTAGGATAGCAAGGTGGTAGATGTATAAGGCTTCTTTTCAATTTAAATCCTGTAAAGGAAGTCTTGTTTTGGTAGGACACAAGTCCAGGTTGCAGAAAAGAGGCTCCCGAGCTCTGTTTTCACTGGCAGAGGGTTGCGGGAGGTGGTGGCAGCCGAAAACAGAGCTCAGGAGACCGTTTCACTGGCAGAAGCACTGTGGGGTCAGTCCTTTGCTGTTTCCAGGGCAGTCCCAGGGGCCAGATCTAAATACCCTGTGGGCCGGCTCCGGCTCCCAGGGCCTTGAGTTTCACACCCCTGCTGTATGCTATCAGTTTAGGCACATTTATAAGATAAAAATACTTGCCTGGCTGCCGTCATCTTGTGCCCTTTTAATAATGTTTTGGCGGCCATCTACCCAGTAGATGAATGCATCAAGTGGATCATAATCAATGGCTTTAACATTTCTTAGGCCATGGATGGGAAGAATGATATCTGGACTCTGCTGATCATCTGGTATCATCCTACTTATTGCAGACCTCTGACTGAATAGCAAGAAGCTGCTGGGTGCTAAAGGTAGAGAAAGAGGAAAAAGTGAACACAATCCAAATAACAATATTGGTAAAATTCTTTTGGAAAGTAAATACACATATGCAAAAATATCAAAATATACTCCTTCCATGTCCATATTTTTGCTATTACTGTTATTGGTCACAGAATGACATATTTTAATCCCATCTTCAAAGAAAACACCAGAATGATTTGCCAAAAAGTCTGATATATTTCACATTACCAGACTTGGGATAAAATGACACCTATGATCTTCAGTCCAGTCTAGAAGCCCAACTCACGAAAGATTTATTTGAAAGTCTGCTCTGCCTCACTTTCCCAGGGATCCTCTTTTGATTTATGCAATGCCGGATCCAGGTTTTTTAAAGGCCCTCTTGGGTAGGATTCCCACAACTTCTACCAATCTCATTTGTTGAATCTGAATCATTAAAGAGAGATCAAACCTAGAACTAAGGAGAAAAGTTCTCACAATGAGAACAATTTATCAGTAGAACGTCTTGCCTCCAGAAATGGTGCATGCTCAATCATTGGAGATTTTCAAGAAGAAATTGGACAACCATCTAGAATGATATACAGTCTCCTGCTCACACAGAGGGTTGGACTAGAAGACCTCCAAGGTACCTTCTAACTTTGTTATTCTATATCCTATGTTGTTCGTTGCTGCTGCCATATGCATGTGGGGGAATACAGCTGTTGCCAAATTATAAGGCAGGCTCTCATCTCTCTCAGTGCTTAGTTGCATAGAAGGGACATAGGCATAAAGAATGACAGCAAGAAGCAGCAGTCAACCCAAGGAGTAATGGCCAGCACTGGGTTTTGTTATAAGAAACGGCTCAGCAACTGTTAACTTGCCATCCAAGCCAACTGTATAGGACAGTGATGATGAACCTTTTCAGCACCAAGTGTCCAAATTGGGACGCGTGTGCATGTGTGTGCATGTGGGTGCGCCAGAACACTGGAAACCCGAAGACCAGCTGGACAGCACACACATAGCCAGTTTTTGCAGCCATTTTTTGGCACTCTGGCACCCACAAAGACCAGCTGGACAGTGGGCATGTGCACGCCGGAAACCAGAAGAGCAGTTGGGGATGGCACGTGTGTCCACAGAGAAGGCTCTGTGTGCCACCTCTGGCACATGTGTCATAGGTTCATCATCACAGGTATAAGAAGTAAATGCTGCTGGCATTTTCTGCAAAAATGTCCAGCTTCTTTTTAGTGTCGAATAATAACATTAAATAGTACTCGTCTTACTGACAAGCACTACCCCAAGAAATAGTAAACCCTACCATTATTACTTTCATCAACTACACCTTTAAAATAATTTCATTGTTTCAATTTAGATCCATTAAAAATGAATTTAGAATTCCTTTTATTTAATGTTTTTAACCAAACTTTCTCCCTTCTCCTCCCTGAAGCAAAGCTGGTGTAAATCACAAAGGCAGGTTTTTGGAAAACTCTGAAATGGACAACTGTTGGCAATCACTCTTTATGCTTATTTTCCAATACTGTTTTGAATCCAGAATTGTGCTGAGTTTTATCCAGTTGCTTTACCAATAGGTTTGTTGTTAGTTTTATTTTTTGTGTTGCTTGTTAACAGATACCTGAATTTCTCTTCTGGTGGAACACAAGATAATGATTTTTGTATAAATGAAAATTAAAGCATTTATCGGGAGGGATGCAGACATCTATATATACAGCCATAAGTATCTGTGTGCTAGGACGACATGTGGATTTAGTAAAAAGTATTCTTCAAGTTTCATTTTTAACGCTACTCATTTCTACTTCTTTTCATTGCCACCCACTAGGCGCAACCCTGGACTGAGCAACATGACAAAATTGCCAGAAGCTGCTTCAATGCCAGGAGAAAAGAATTAGCCCTTTCTTTTCATCTGGAGGGTTGCAGGATTAAAAAACCCACTCAACCAGGTTTCAGGTATCAGAAACAAATGGGCTGGCAAGATGCCCTGGAACAGGAACTATGCGGTTCCTTTGTGAAACCTCTCCTCTTTTAAGTTCTGTTGCAGAATCCTTGACATTCCTCCCATTCTACCCTGGGTTTACTGGAACCAGAACTCTATTTTGATGGAGGAAGGCCTGGAACTAACAGAAGAAGAGCGAGTGCACACTCCCAAGAATACTATGTTCTTTAGCTGCTACTCGGCTTCTGGCAAGAAGAGTTATGAATCACTCCTACAGACCGTTCCAGCTGTCTGTCCTTCCCACACAGATAGGCTACAGATTCAAAAACGTTGCCTTCCTGGAAGTGTTGGACTATAACTTTCATGATCTCAACAGCACATCCTTGATGAGAGCTGTAATCCAACCTATTTAGAGAATACCAAGTTGGGATTGGTAGAGAACTGAAAATATTTAGAGAGCTGCAAAATATACATACAACTGCAGTTCCGGGTCTTGGGATCCAAGGTGTAGTGCGATGCACAGCCACATCTATAGCCATTGGGTATGGCCAGGCACAACTGCCCACAGTGCCCATTATTTTGTGCACACTCATTGAAACCATCCTGTCGTGATGAGTGGAAAACTAATATATCCATCACAAAGTCCAGACGATTCTGAATAATTGTTCGATTTCTCCCATTTGTTTTGTCAGCTCTTTCTATACTGTGGAGGTTCCAATCTGTCCAGTAGATGAAGTCACTGTACTGAGTTAGCCCAAAGGGGTGAGGTAGATCATCTGCTATTATTTCTCTCTCTTGTCCTGAAAGAAATAACCCATATGTTGTTAATCAACACAGAGCTTCAAACCATGGTGGCCAAAAGAAGATGGTTGGATAAAGTAACTCCAATTTTTACTAGTAATGTTTAATTATCAACTAATAAAGGTCATCTATCTCTGCCATTTGCTATTCCGTTCCCCTTTTTTGAAAGAAGCATATAAAGCAGCACTGCCTGTCAGAGTACATTGAAAACATTTCCCTGGACACTTATAACATCCCATGGTCCAACACAATACTTTTGTTAATGTTATTTATAGTCTCAGACCAATTAAAAAAACAGTGGAATATATGATGTTCTCTTGATCATTCATTCATTTTCTATAAGTATTCATCTCAGACTAATGGATGGTTGACAATCATAAAAACAATTACAATATAGGTCAAAATTTAATATATATGGCAACTAAGAAACAAAGCTACCACTGATAAAAGCTTTAATTCTATAAAAAACCAGAAACAAAATGATACAGTGGGAAGTACCTTTATTTCACTTACCTTTATTTCTCTTATTATGTCATTGGAGCAAACTCTCAATTAAGTACTGACTATTTTCTGCTGCAAAGCTTTAGCGAGGAAAATATATGATGGTACATTAAAGCTTAAAAAATAAAGCTGTGCACTGCTTCAGATTTGATTCTAATCAGTGCTTTGGGGCATGCAATTCCTTAAATCAAGTGTGTATTTTCCCATGCTTGCATAGCAAATTTCCAAACAGATCATTAGCATGATATGTGTGATGGCTGCCACCATTGTCATCAATGTTTGAACTAAATCATATCTACACTTCTAGAAAACATGATCTCTTGGTGAAAGGCTTTCTCGTGATATTTTTTAGTAAAAAAGAAAAAGAAAAAAGGAATGCTAGACAAGCTTATGAGATATAACTACAATCAGGCTATATCTATTCCCTGCTGACTGCAAGAGCATAACATCTAAAATGATAATGTAATAGGTATGTACACGGTATGTATACATGCACACAGATTAGGCCTGTGCAGAAATTTGTTTGAAGGACAAAAGAGGAGCATGCTCTGGGCATCTTTTAGGAGCATCTTCAGCTAAGCAATTCATTTCCCAGTACGCTGCAGAAAAGTAACTGCACAAACCTAAGAAAAGATATAACTGTTTTAAGATACTCCTTAGCACCATAAAGATGCTTATCTGCACCCACGTGTGACCCAACTAATATGCCTGTACATGTTTGTTTATTTTGGTGTTTGTTAATTACAGCCCCTTTCTCCCCCCCCTACACAATTTGGTAATTATAGGGGGATTCAGGTTATTAATTCACACTAAAAGAGACCTCAGGTGGCTTAGCAATGCAATAGTTGGAACTCCTCATGCAATCAGCTCTTCTGAAGCAAGAGATGGGAATCATGCCACATAGATGTTTTTGTCCATTTTATTGTTCATAATCATAATTTGGACCCCGGGTCTCTAAAACTTTCCAACTACTTTTGGTAATACACTCTGGTTTGTTGTTCTTTCTAGTTAATTACCCTTCCAAAGTTTTGGAACAAATTACAAGGAATGAGAAATCCTATTCAGAACTTTGGATAAGACCATGTTTTGGAGGCTACTTAAAACAAAAAGGCTGCTATACTTTGGTCTCATGCGATCAGTTGATACATTTAAGTTCCTTTGTCTTAAAGATCAAAATAAATAAATTCAGGATCTTTCTGCAGCATGACATACCACCCATATCTTTCTTTCCTTATTTGTATACTACTTCTACTATATTCTAGATATTGGCAAATTACCTAGCATATTGGATGACTCAATCATGCTCGTGTCCAGATCAGTCCAATAAACTCTTTGATCCTTGTAATCAATGGTAAGATCGTTGGCACGTCCCACCTTATCCACCAGCATGATGCTATTTGTTCCATCCATGTATGCTCGAACAATTTTGGGTTTTCCTCCCCACTCAGTCCAGTACATATACCTGTAATGAAACAAACATTGGAATGATTCAATATTTAATTTATAGCAGAGCAATTGCTTGGCTTGTAGGTTGCTTTATGAGTTCTCAGAAATGAAAAAAAAATCTACTAAGTTTCAAATCAGTTTATGTTGGATATTTGCACTTTATTTGGGGAAGGCATGGGTCTCCCAGGGACCATGGGTGCATTCTGAGTGGTATGAGTCTTGGATGATTTGGGGATAGTCACCCATTTGGATACAAGGACTTTTAAGGTGAGAAAATGGTGTCTCTAAGATAAGATTTATTGTATCCACTGCAACACTTAAAATAACCCAAAGTTCAACTTGCAAAAAGGGACAAATATAAAAACTGTTTTTGGGAATACCTGCATATTGCAGCGTGCACTTGTTTGCCCCTACTCTAGAACCATGCAAGAGAAGCAGAGGCATGCCTCCCCCCCCCCTTGGCTACATAACTCACAATTAACGTTCTCCATTAAGGGCAGTTTTCCCACAGGAGTTGTTACTTATCCTTTCCTATACAGCTGGTTCTCATTATCTCATTTAGTGGCTGTCTGAAGTTATGACAGTGTAAAAAAAAACAGCTTTGCAATCAATCCTTGCATTTACAACCTTGGGTGTCTTGGCTGAGAGAAAATCAAATTAAAATGTTTGCCCTGCTTAATACACATATCACGGTGATAGATAAGTCTTTCCTTCTGCACCAAAATTGGTGTGCACGAAAATTGGGCACAAAGTTCAAAGTCACGGACAAGCCCTTTGCCCCACCACAGTAGAAATGGAAATCAGAGAAGGGCAGAAAAGGTGCAATTCGATAAACTTTGAGACTGTATTTTAATTGCATAATTTGGGGAACACATTTGCAATTAAACTAATAAACAATAATAAACATTGAATTTGGGTTTGATGTTTTTTTGCCCCCTTACCCTTTTGCTGGATCAAGAGCCAATGACCTTGGATTATCCAAATCTTTCCACACAAGAACTTGCCGGAATAGCCCATCCAACCGGGCCACTTCGATCCTATTGGTTCCAGTATCTGCCCAATAGAGATTCTTTCCCATCCAATCTACAGCCATGCCTTCAGGGTAATCTAACCCAAACTCAATCACATGTTCCAGTCCACTTCCATTCATAAAGGCTCGGCTTATTGTCTGCAAAACCATTTTAAAAAATGACAGGAATTTCAGAATATAAAACAATTTAAGCAATTAATGGATGAGTGCAAAGTATTATACAAGACAGGGCTCCCTCAAGGATGTGTTTTATTTTATAAGATTTAAACGACAAAATATTTAGAACCAAAATGTTGTTTGGAAGGAGTCCATTAGAACAGCTGGTTAACAAAGCAAACGTTTCAGTTAAGATACCATGAATACCTTTAAGCTAATATCTGTCCAGTAGATTCTGTTGTCAGATACATCAAAATCTAGAGCAGAAGCTTCTTTCACACCCGTAAGAGGAATGGCAACATCATTGTTGCTGGCTCCAAGAGAAATCCTATGAACAGCTGCCCTGCTGGTGAAGACAAGGAAAGCTTCTGGGATGATGCAGGTCCTCATATCACTAAGTAACTCCAGTCCAATTGGGCAGGCACATCTGCACTCCTGGGGTGTGAAGAAGCACAGGTGGCTGCAGCCGCCATTATTCTCAGCACACGGATTTGTCCCTAAAAAGAAAAACAGTTCTCTGAAGGAAAAGAGAAGCTTGGCTAGGACAGGATTTAGGTCTTAAAGCATAGGCCCTTCTACATTCAAAACGGCTCAAGATAAACTCTGCCCCATGTCTTCTAGAATCATCTAACTGAAGAAAACTGGGTTAAAAGCATTCCTCTATTTATTATTTATCTCAAATCTTGAAGAAGATTTGAAAGTCCTGGGCTGAAAATTCACTTTAAGGAAATTAAAGTTCAGCCAATATCCCTTATAATATCAATGCATTGCAGTCTCAGTCCCTTATCTCCAATATTGACAACATTAATTTATCTTACAGTTTGTTGAATTAATATGTATTTTACAATATGGAAAAATATGCCCATAACTATCAATTAAGAGTCAACACAATTTCCAAACCCAACCAACAGCACTAAGAAGCAGTGCGGATATACTACATATCACATGCAACCAATTTCAGTTTTCTGTTAGACGGTACCAGTAAGTATATTTCCGTTTCTAGTTCGACCTATTCATTGGAGTCTTACTAGATAACCTCCTATAACTTTCCCAACAGCCCAACATACCTTTTCCATCAAAAGTATAATTAATAATTATTGGTCCACTTTATGAACATGATAATTCCAAATATGACAAAGATAGTAAACCAATTTCTGAAATTAAATCTATAGAGTTTTCCAACAGGCAGCAAACATGACTCAGTAAGATATGGCAAGCAGTTGTCATAACGATTCAGCATCTGGATGATGAACAGATGCTAGCTGCATGGGTAACATATATTTTGGAGAGTGAAAATGTGTAAAACTCAACAAGATTTCATGGATTGAGTGAAAATTTATCTTAATAATAAGAGCTAATAATTTGGCATTATGATAATGGCTGCTTTTGTTGCAGTTTCAAAGAAAAGGTTATTGAAAAGAATCACAAAATTTCAATTAAACACAATTTATTTTAAAGGCAAATTTCATTTAACATCAATAAAAGAGCAAAACATTCCTTCTTTTCACAATAAACTTTTGGAATATCATGAATTTCTTTGGGCACTTAAGTGTTAAAACTGTGGAGACCTCCAAGTGTTCTCTATGTACGAGTAATAAATTCCCAACTTTTGCACTATTTTGACTTCAGCTCATCCCAGATGCTTGTTGTCTAGGAATAGCAGCCAATAAATATTTCTAGAAAATGTTCCCTGTGTCAGTATGGTTAAACATTGCTATGAGGAAATGTTAAAAAGCATGAGTGAATGTTACACTAACACAGTGAGATGAATTAAAAGATAGAGATATATCTAAAGCCCCAATTAGGGAAATTTAATGGATGCGCATACATATAAATCAGTAACCAAGCTTTCATGTTTATATATTCATTTATTCTCCCTCTCTCTCTCTCTCCCTCTCTCTCTCTCTCTCTCTCTCTCACACACACACACACACACACGCACACACAGTGTAAATATGTGTGTAAAAGGTAGTTATTTTCAGTATGATCCTTCTATCTGCAGACATGAAGAATATTAATGGCTGCTCTCTTTATATACCTCCATACTTAAACTAAAAGCTTCTCTGGACATAAACATAGGTCAAAACAAGCATAATGGGATTGGTAGCTAATAATGTGTGCCTTTTATAACAGAAGGTATTGCCTTGAGGATATTTTGTAGCCCAACTGATGCATCCCTGTAATCATACTTATTTCTCATTTGTAAGAATACATGATAAATTATTCATGTTTACCTCATAAAATGACCTAGGTAGCATGAAAAAGAAACAAAATAGAAATACATCAGCACTATTCAAAGACCTTAACAAACCAGGTGGCTGTATTTCCATTACAGCATTTCTCCAACCATTTTGGAGTTCCCCAGTCCCTTAGAGAATGGATACACTGCAAAGATGAAAGAGGATCATGCCAATAATTGAGCCCCTTCAACACAATATCCAAATCTCACACACAAGGCAGTGAGTCCATTGGTTATGCCTTTTCCCCCATCACTGTCATGAAATACTCTTGGCAGTTGAAATAACATGCAGGTGCAACCCAGGTCCAACAGGAGAACATGAAGAGGAGACCGGTCACTCTCATTCTCATCAACCAATGGGTTCAAAGTTACTTCACCAAATAAGAAAGAGATGACTAAGAACAACTGGCATGCAAGTTCTCAGACCCCTTTACCTTCTTGCAGAGTGAATCTGCAAGAAGGATCCCAATTTTTATAGTTAATCTTAACACTGGTTACACTTCCTATTAAGCAACTCTTCACTGCAAACATGAGTAGTGGAGCACGGTCCAAACCACTGGGTAATGCCCTCACTTACCCTCTGCTCTGGTGACACTTGTTGCTTTAAGACCCATCAAGTCTGGCAACTGATCAATGATAATGTCCCGACTTGCCCCCTTCTTGTGAACCCTTTCAATACTTCGTCTCTGCCAATCTGTCCAGTAGATATATTCACCAAGTAAAGTAAATCCAAATATATGAGGAAGTTTATCTTCTATGAGTGTTTTTCTCATGGTTCCATCAAGGCTTATTACCTGTAAAATATAAATATATGTAAATATAGTTCAGCTATAGTAAACAAGCAAAAATAAAATTCTGTATGAAATTTTTTTTCTTCATGGAGTTGATTAAGAGATTAATCTAATTTATCATTTAAGTTAGATATCTAGTGGTAAATTATGAGTGCTGGGGGTTTTTTTGTATGACATTCATGGTTGATGGGAACATCAGATTCAGCAATAGATATCCCTGCAAAACTGTTTATTTTTAACATGAGATCAGTATTGCAATCTGTTTCAAACACAGGAACCAAAACAAAAATATTTCTATTTTTCCTTAATTCTAATAGTCTATTATTATTATTATTATTATTATTATTATTATTATTATTATTATTATTAACTTTATTCATTAAACATGAAACTCAGTCAACTGAACATTCAAAAATGCATCACAAATACCATTGCCTGGTGCTAATGGTTGATACAGGTTGCTACCAGTGTCCTAGGTATCAACCAAGTACCTTCTATGATGACAATCATGATGGTTAATCACATGGGAATGAGAAATTTGTAAATCATTCATAAGAAGGCAATTATTATCAATTACAATAAAGCGGCAGCCAATTTCAATTCTCAACTATTGATCTTGAAATGCAGAAGCCTGTAGGATTTAGCCAACTTTCACTGATCTTGAAAATCATAAGCATGGGTCCTACCTAGAAGATCATCAGGGATTATTAGCGCTTTAGACCAGATTGATTTTAAAAAAAAAAGATAATCCTGAAAGATGGTCCTGGCAAAAATTTGCAGTACAAATAAAAATACTACATACAGTCCAACTATATTTGATGAAAATTTGATTTTATTTACTCATATTAAAATAAAAATAATTCAATCTCTATTATTCCTCCTATCTACAATAATATTATCAAACCTTCGCAGCTAATTAGATCTGTTCCTAACACTGTGCAACCTCTCCCTTAAGAGCGGAATATTTGGATTTGACGAACATTTCAATCTACTCTTCAGAAATAATCCAAATTAACCCTATATTGTTGATACATACCACTCATGCTATTCTCATTTGAGGCAAGCAAAATACAGAAATGAAGTAAGAAATAGTAAGCTAAGGAATTTAAAACATAATTTTAAGAAAAGGAAATATAGCTAAATCTATGCTGATGAATATTCTTGAACATCCAGGTAAAGTTGTCCAAAGGTTAGTCAATAAGTCCAGTTGCCATGACTCAACCTGCAGACAACTTTTACCTGGCTGGAATTTTCGTCGATATATTACAAAGCACTTTGGAGAGGAAACTGCCTAACTAACTTGTTCTGACTGAAGCTACTTAGATGAGCAGTGGAAAATTCTCAAACTAACAGTGGATTTTCAGTTTCTCAAACTGGAAATCCAGTTGTCAAGACTCAATCTTCAGACATTAGTTTATATTCATTAGACTTTCGGTTATTGTGAACCATCCTTGCTTCCACAATATCTGTATGTTGTTTCTGTTTCTCAGGATCTCATTAACTCCACCCAATCATCTCTGTTTTGGTGGTTGCACTCATTTTCTTGTGACAAAGAAATCGATATAGGTCCATAAATTATTATATCTCCTAAGTATTTAAGCACCAGTGAGATCTAGTCCTATAATAGTCAGAGGTAGAATGGTATCCTCAATTAGTATATATTATTAACTAATTTTGAATGCACACAAACTTGTATATTTAGATGTATACACACAGTTCAACTATTTTCTTTTGACAATGTTGTCAAAAGGAAACTGTAAGGAAACTAAACTATATTTGAGTAGTCATTTGAAATTCACACACAAAATTCATCCTTTTTTTTTTCCCAGAATGGGGGGGGGGAGGAATTAACTAGTATTTCCCCTACACACACACACACACACACACACACACACTTACACACTTTACATCCTTCACTTTACCCTAAAAATTCCCACACAATCTGGTCTCCAACGTGTATAGAATGCATTGAGAGCAGAATATTTACCAGCTGCGGAGGCAACTGTGAACCACAACAGATTTATAAAACAAGAAACTTCAGTCTCTGCTTCTTCGTAATTATGTTAATAAACCACAAACCTAACCAAAACAAATATCTACTACATACATTTCCTTTTGCATTGGGTCGAAGAACAATCTTAACAGAAGCTTTTCTAAAATTTTGACAAGTGAGACTTGGTCTGGTGCAATTTAAAAACACGGAATGAAATTAAGCTACAATTATTTTAGCACTAGCTTCTCAGATATCCCAAACAGATTTCAACCCTGGGGACTTCTCCAAATCAAGCTCTAATTCGTTATGAAAGTTTTCCTTCTGTCAAAGTATGTTAATATCTACTGCATGTGCACTAATGCGTGGCTTGGCTTTTTTCCACATCACCCAAGGGTCAGGCTTATAAGCATGAAGCAGCCTTCGGGCTGCAAGGCAGCAGTAGGGTGGAAAACTACCTTGTTAAAGATGTTAAAATCCCTTAGAAATCATAGATCAAGGCAAGTTTTCCTTTATCAAAAGGCTGGGTAACTTTCCCAAGAAAATAAAATGTGGAGAACTGGTCAATATTATGCAACTCTTTGAAAAGTGTGGTACAGGAACTCATCGAATTACGATCACAATTGAGCCCAAAATTTCCATTGCTAAGCAAGATAGTTGTTAAGTGAATTTTGCTTGTCAGAAGATTGAAAAAGGTGGTCACATAATCCCAGGAGACTACAACAGCCATAAATACATGCCAATTGCCAAGCATACAACTTTTGATCACATGACCATGGTGATGTTGTAATGATCATGAAAAACAGTTGTAAGTTACTGTATTTTTTGCACTACAAGACACTCCAGACCATAAGGTGCACCTAGGTTTGGGGATGAAAAATGAGAAAAAATATTCTGCTTCTGCATCCCAGCAATTTGCCTCCTTGCAGCAAACAGTCTGGTCAGCTTCAGCATAGCCTGATTTAGCACAAGCAGCTGATTGGCAGTTGGCTTGGCCTTCCGGAATACCGCCGATCAGCTCTTCTAGTCTGCAGGGATTGCTACTGCCCATCACCATTGCCGCTTCCACGTGCCCCATTTTCAGCCTCCGCACATCCCATTTTTGGCCTGTTCCAGGTGGCAATCCCCACTGCATGGAACGGGCTGAAAATGGGATGCACAGAGCCTGATAACAGGACAGCGGAGGGCGAAAATGGGGTGTGCCGAGGCAGTGATAGGTGGTGCTGGGTGACAGTGGTGATCCCTGCAGCCTGGAACAGCTGATTGGTGGTATTCTGGGAGGCCGATCCAACCACCAATCAGCTGCTCATACTAAATAAAGTTGTACTGAAGCTGACCAGGCTGTTTGCTGCAAGGAGGCAAATTGCTGGGAGCTAGAGGCCAGTGGGTGGGTGGGGCTTCAGCAACACTCTATAAGATGCAGAGACATTTCCACCCACTTTTTGGGGGGGCGTTTTATAGGCCGAAAAATATGGTAATTATTTTCAGTGCTGTTGTAACTTCAAATGGTCACTAAATGAATAGCTTTAAGTCAAGGACTACCATGTTTCCTTGACAATAAGACAGGTCTTATTTTCTTTTGACCCCTGAAATAAGCATTTGGCTTCATTTTCGGAAAGATCTTATTGTTTTTGAGTTGTAGGAAGTGGTGAGCATGGACACCTCATGGCTACTGTTGTGTTGCAATATTTTTGGGGAGGGCTTATTTTCGGGGGAAGGCTTATTTTAGTGCATGCGCTCAAAAACCCGATTGGGCTTATTATCCGGGAAGGTCTTATTTTCAGGGAAACAGGGTAGATATGTGAGTAATGCAGGTTATTAATTATATTTTATTCACACATTAATGTGATTTAAATTTTAGATCATGGCTGTAGTATGGGTTATATTCATACATTGTTCTACAGAAATGGAGAACGTATTTATCAACTGAGATTTCAAATTATATTCCACAAAAATCAAAAGCAGGAAATAGTCCCAATTAAAGAAATCAGTGTATGGTATATGGTATATTTTGTCTATCCAGAATTTGGCAAAATTCAATAATGAAGATTATGCTCGGTCTTCTCAACTACATCTGTTTGCATTACAATTTAGTATACCCATCTATTCTGGCGACATCTTTAGAAACCTCAGAGAAGTATTTCAGGCTTACTCATGCAATTCCCCTATGTTCAGAAGTGCAAGCCACTGTCTTAGCAGCTGTAGGACTCCTCAAAGTAATAAATTGCTTGACTATCTTTTTCTTTATGCTTATTCAGAACTTTAGGATATAATTGGATAAAAATATATCTTCTGAATGACCTCATATGAAGAATCTTTTTGAGACAATCATTTCAGTTTTATCTACAGCATGTTTAAAGACTTACTTCCCATGTTAATGAACACCAAAATATTAGGGAAAGTTCCTCCTCTCATCTGAAGTGGGTCTCACTGGCCTGAATAAAAAGAACTTGTGTATGCTCATTTGTAAAGTCATTTCTCCAAAAGAAAAAAAGCTGCAGACTTATTAGATCATCCATAGTTATCAGTGTTCAAACTGATCACAGTAATAGCACAAAACACCATCAAGCCATCGGGGAGGTTGTTTATTGTTTTGCAATACCACATGATGATACTACCTCAATTTTTGATAATTCTATTAAGAAGAAAACATCACAATCCCTCTTCCCTTCAAAAGGAAAACTGGACATACTCAACTTATTCCAAGTTCAATACATTTTGAGTAGAAATACTAGGACAAAACTCTATACAGTTTCAAAAATATTCTGAAGAGTGCATTAGCCATGAAAAAAGCCTCTTCTACCAGTAGGTAGAAATCACTGAAAGGAAGTAAGGATAGCAAGGAAAGTCATCTAAGCATAAACAGTTTTAGAAATAAGAAAGAAAAAAAACCCCTCCGGTTTGCCCAGGTCTACATTACATTTTACATCTTTAATTACTTAGCATAGAATTAATGGGTTTATAATACAAACTTTTCCTTATTTGCTATGTGTGTCTAAATGTGTTGTAGTTT